CCCAGAATTCCCCAGCCAGCATGCTGGCTGGGGAATTCTGGGAGTTGAAGTCCACACATCTCCAAGTTGCCGAGGTTGAGAAACACTATTGTAGGGTGTCATAACAGAATCTTGAAAACCTGTCAATTTCTCTCTGTTCTAACTTATACTAAACAAAATCAAAGCAGGGTTATTTTGAGTGTCTTTCTCACATTTCCTTCAATCTCTGGACTATGCAGTTAGTTCTCCAAATCTCTCTTTAATGGCTTGTTCCTTCCTTCCTCCACTTAATGGCTCTTTCATAGCTTCCCCAAGGTCAGCTCTCAATTCCTTTAGTTTTTAGCTGTTGTTATGGTCCTTCAAATCAGTCGTAACTCTGGTAACTACGTGGAGAAATCTCTGCAGGTTTCTTGGCAAGATTTTCTTGCCTTGCTTTATTCTTCCTGGGGCTGAGAGACAGGGACCAGCCCAAAGTCTCCCAGATGTCATATCTAAGGCAGGACTAAAACTCACGGTCTCCCAGTGCCTTTAATCACTACTTTCAATTCAGCCGGCACAATTCCAGCTGCTAAATTCAGTGTCCTTTCATTATGAGTCAGCTGTACTGGCCAGCTGTCAATCAGAGGAAATTAATGTTATCTTGGAAAAGGCAGATTAGGAATATAGGAAGCTGGTTTAGATTGGCTGGATTCCCATATTTTTCTAAGCCAAGTTTTAGAGAGTTCTTTGGTGGAGTCCAACATAGAAATTCAGCCACCTTGGTATGATTTATTTCTGAGTGTGTGAGTCCAGCCCAGTCAGTTGTGATTTATTCAATTAACCATGGTTATGTGAACCATGACTTAGCATGGGAGGAGTCTATTAAGCTTTTCATTCAGTTTTTCTAATGGTACCTGGTCATCTCCAGGATTGGATCTAGAATCTCTGCTAGAGTCACTGCTCATGGCCTTTCTAAAACCATCATCCAGAATTTGCAGGGATGATGTGAATGCAGGAATGGACAAGGTCTTCAGGTGGGGTGTACAGCCCAATCTTTTCTGTACTATAGAAATTGGTGTGCTTCCCCTATGCTGTTTGCATTTGTGTATGTTGCTTTTCTTACTGCTTGTTAAGAGTAACAAAACATTTTTATACAGATTCTACGATGAGATTGGTACCCCACTTCTTTCAGACATCCGGGTTGATTATCCCGTTGACAGCGTGGACCAAGTGACTCAGAACTTCTTCCCCAACTATTTCAATGGTTCTGAAATTGTCATTGCTGGAAAACTCTTCAACAAGACAGCCCACACCTTACATGTAGAAGTGACAGCCAGCAACAGTGACAAGCATGTCCTTCTGAAAACAGATGTGGCCATTGATCTCTCTGGACAGAATCACCTTGAGGCTAGTTTTGTTGGGGCCCATAACTCCTCAAATGATCAAAACTATGTTGAGCGGGCCTGGAGTTACCTCACCATCAAGGAATTGTTGACTTCCTGGTTGAAGAGTGACAATAGCAAGGAGAAAGCTTCTCTAAGGGAGAGAGCCAAGAATTTGGCCCTCACTTACAATTTTGTCATTCCCTTCACCACCCTGAAGATGAAGGCCCTTCCATTTCAGGTGGAACCCCCAATGGAAGTCTATACCGGACCTTCAACTGAAGGGGTCGGTGAAATCGTGCAGGGCCTTCAAGGTCACCAAGTGCCCTCAGGTAAGGACAACAGCAGAAGCATCTGCAGAGTCCAGCGCTTTCATCAAAATGACAAAAGTAGCATCATGAGAGCGCAACATGATCTCCAACCCTTTTGTACGTGTGTGCAGCATCACAATGCACGTACAAAAGGGGAGTAGCTTGTATTGCATCATCTCAATGCATCATTATTTGACAGTCTCCCACCCCCCACCCCCATCCATGCCTCTGGACAATAAATATTTTCCTCCAAAACAAGTCAAGATTACAGAAAACAGGCCAAGTGGCCTGCAAATGTGTCTTTGTTTTCGTGACCTTTATTTCTGATTTTCTGGCACAACTGCCATTGCTTATACAGGCAACATGGCACTATTCAAACTCTAAACCAGAGATGGGTGACTTGAACCCATGGGCCAAATGTGATCCACCACCACTTGAGGGGACCGGGACTAAGAATTTGGATTCTTGAGGTTTGGGGAAGGTTTAAGGGATGAAATAGCTGTCTTAAACCTTACAAATTATATGGTAAAGCGCTCATAACCTCTGATCCCTCAAAATGAGGGTGATTTTCTCATTTTGAAGGGCTAAAAGGCAAAACAGGTGCTATGAACCTCTGCTTCTTAAACTTGCCTTCAGCTCCCAAAATAGAAGCTGAAATAACTTTATTGCGGTCATTAACCAGCACAAGGGAACTGGTTTTCAAATATCCAAAACTAAATTGACCATATCAGGGTAATTAGGAAAAGTACATACAAACAAAGAAATTGGGCTAAAAAACAATATTAAAACAAAGAATGCTACGACACTTGCTCAGCTCCACGTGTGCAACAAAAGAGAAAAGAGATTAAAATTAGCAATCCGAGTAGTATAAACTTTAAAAGAGCAACATAAAATATAAATGCCAAAAAATATTGATAGATAAAGCAATGAAGTTATCCAAAAGGGATTTGAGGGTTATAAACTTAGTACAATAGGGTTATTTTAGGATAGTATAATAGCTGACGTGGCACGTACACACCAAAGCGTAAGAGAAGATGTTAAAAAGTAGCCAAATGTTCATACTAAGCCTGAACCACTTCTGGTTGTCCATACTCAGACAGGTCCAGTGGCTCTTAATTACTCTTTGCCTGATTTTGCATGACGCCACACCAAACCTGGCAACCTTGTGTATGATTTCAGGGTGGATGGCGCAAATAGAGGGAAAATAAAAAATGGCCCAACCAACTCCAGTAATGTCACAGCATCACCAGCTGTGTGTGTGTGTGTGTGTGTTTATTTATTTATTTATTTATTTATTCAATTAATTTAGATAGCTGCCCGTCTCAGACCCGTGATTGTTATAGTAGGGTAGATGGAAACCAAAATGGTGCCCAGAAAACAATACAAAACTCAGAGGTGGGCGTGAAAAATCCAGAGGAGGAATAGTCAAAATTACCCATTGAGGACTGAGTACGCTCAGCACATAAGCCGAAACTCAAGAACTGAGTGCCCCAGAAGAGGATGCAGAACAGTGAATGGTTTGCGCAGTGACCTTTGATGGCAGGACCCATAGGAGGAATTCATCCTCTGGTTTGGGGAGGGGGTTGATTGCAGCCTCTCATAATCCATGATATCTGGGGATTATGGAAAATGTAATCAAAGCGATCTGGAACCATGCAGCTGGGATAGCCAGGTAGCAATCCTGGATACTGACTGAAAATTCTCCCAGGCTTTCATATTCTCCAGTTTGGTTGTGGGGGTGACGGGGACAGGGAGGAGAAAGGTTATCCCCTCTTCGCTGAGGTCTTGGGGAATTGCAATCACAACATAAGAAGAGGGGCAAGTTGGGGAAGGCTGGATTTAGCCCTTGTGGCTAATAAATATGGATGACCTTAGAGTTCATGATGATAGTCAATCTTACAAACTCCAGTTCAGAATGAAAGGTAGACTGTCAGAGCTCAGCTTCTGCTGACCACACAGGTGTGTCTATACACTTTTCACAGCAACGATATGGAAGGGGGTTGCCATTAACCTTTTCTTGGGGTGTGTGTCAACTTCCCAGTCTAACGTATAGTCCTGGGATTTCATAGGGGTCTCCCATCCAAGCATCAGCCAGGTCCAACCCAACTTAGCCTTTTAAGATCAGCTAGGATTGGCAAGATGTTGTCACCAGCTATAGATCCAGTTGTAAATAAGTTGTTTAACATGTAAATGAGTCACAGCTCTTCCCTGGGGGAGGCATAATAGTACATTGGCCCTGGTGAGGTAACTGGGCTCTGTGTGTCTGTGTCATTTTGTGTCATCTCATTTCCCCCTTTTTTTTCTACCACTAGACTCTATGCCTGAAAAATCAGAGAAGCAAAAAATCAAAGTGACTAAAACTTCAGGTAAGTGGTCCACTGGTTAACCAGAAAAAAAAAAAGAAGTCTTTGGCTGCTTCTAGTCTTCTCAGTTTGCCAAGCAAGACAGACTTCTTTGATTTTCCTTCAGCAGACAGGGTAAGTTGGCTAGGAAAATCTTCTTAAAGTAGGGGAGGATATTCCCGGTTGCCTGGATCTAGCCACTGCTCCTCAAATCTCAGCTGATGGAGAATGCCTCTGAAACACCAGCTGAGCAGGTGACCTTCAGGCCTAACACGAAATCAGGGGCATCCACGGGAGAGGTTCAAAAAATGTCACAATGGCACTGCGACAGTGTGCTTGAAGCCCCACCCCTTTTCTCCATACATCATGATACAAGTAAAAGTCCAACTGGGTGGTCACGGCCACAGGGGAGGGCAATAATGGAACATGTATCCTGATGCAAATTCTATTCCTTTTGTATTTGCATGCCAGCTCATGAAACGGCAGAGTTTGTGTTGTGAAGACACAATACATTTTTTATTATTTTAGCATCATCGTGGTTAGGAAAGGACAGCTCTGTCTGCCTTCTGGGGTGTTCAACTTTCCTTGGAAGTATCTCTTACCCAAAGTGACTCCTCCTATTTTGGCCTTCAGTACTAAATTTGGTTCTCTCCCCTGGCTTGCAAGGATCCCTTCTCTCCTGAAAACCATTGCTCCTTGTTTCATCCAAATGCACCCTTTGCCCTGCAAACCAGAAGAAGATGGTAGGGTGAGAACCCAAGTCAGCCATCTCTAGCCTGATGGCTACTACAACTCACAAGTGGCTACTGCAGTTCTCAGGCCACATGACTCGGTCCAACAAGTAGACCAAGGTTCTTCAGGGACTGTTGGAGAAGGCAGAGGAGTCCACAGGTTTTGGTCAAAAAAGTGAAGGTGGGAGCATTGCACATAAAAAACCAGGCAGAGCTTCTATCACCCTTCACAACTGCCATCTTGACTTTTTTGGCCATACTCATGAACACTCCAGGAGAAGAAGGTCTGGAATAGCTTATGCATCTCACACTGCAGCGTTTCCCTCTTGTCTCACGCTTCATAGGAAAAACTCAAGTTAGAAAATGTTCATGATGGTTGAGGAGGGGAGAACCAAGAGGCCCCTCTGCAAAATGAGTGGATTGAGATTCTAGATGTTGAATTGCAGGAACATTGACGTTTGCCTTCCTTTTTTTTTTTTTTAATTGTCTCTCCAGCGGACGGCGACCCTCATTTTGTCATCGATATGCCGCTGAGCAAGCTAACTGTCTGCTTCAACATTGATGGGCAACCAGGCGATATCCTTAGATTAGTTTCTGATCACAAGAACTCTGGTACGGGAATTCTGGTACGGGAACAACAGAGCTGGGGGTATTGACTTGTTTCATCAGCAGAGTTGAATGAAGCTTGGCCTGGCCTGAAACAGTGGTTGGAAAGGAAGCACTGATGAATTTCTTCCTCCAAGACCATTATGAGATGGGACAAGGTTTAGGGTCAACTTGGGACAATTTTAAACAAGCTTCATAAAGGGAAGCAAAGGTTAATGGTGTTTCCTCTCCTGTTGGTTTCAATATCCACATTCATTCTCTAACTCTGACAAGAACAATATGTCTGTTTCTAGGAGGCAACAGTTCTTACATCAAAAATAGGAAATTGCTGAAGATCAGCTGAAATCACAACATGACAGACTAAACTAAAGTGCATTGTTTATGATTTAGAGGGTTATGGGAACTCAGCCATAGTCTTACCCTGTCATAGGAAACAGATTATCCTAGTTGTCAAGCCCACTGTGTAGACCAAACCAAAAAATTAACTCTGCAAGAAGGCTAAAACTACTCTTATTAATATTGGCTATAGGAACAGAATCTTGCAAGTCTGACTGCGCTTTACTGCCCCCCCTCATCTTTTATACTCATGCGAATTAGGGAGGTATCTGCCTGAGTTGCTTGTGCATACCTTCTTCTTGTTTGAGACTTAAGCTATCATATCCCTTTGTCGCTTTGTAAGGGATCTGGCTAAGATGATCTTGATATCTTCCTTACTGTCTACACAGTAATCCATTGTATGGTTTATTGATTTGGGCATAGTGTGTCATGTAAGCACAGCAATTGTATGTAGTTAGCAGAGGTTCAGGGTGTAGCATGTTGTGTGAACCAAGCCAAAATGTAACTGAGTTTAGAAAAGGATACAGTGTTTATATGCAGTTGGGAAATTAACACACATGACTTACAGCACAGCTGGTGGTGTATTCTGAAGGTGAATATATACTAGGCTACATAACAGGACTGTAAAAATCTTTGTGGCCTCTAGATGGCAACAGAGTTAGGCTTTGTCTCTCTCTGCCATCTAGCAGTCAACCAAGGATTTGCAATCCAGATCTGGTTGCTGTAATACTGTATATATGTCCTTCTGGGCTAAACTGTACAGGTTGTCCTCAAGTTATGATGGCAATTGGGATCGGGAACTCAGTCGCTAAGCAACGCAGTTTTAAAGCGCAACATCACGACTGTGTTGCTTAGTGACATCAATTCCAGCAGTCCAGTTGCCATCATTAAACAAGGACCATGTAGGTCGTTAAGCAAGGACCTCACGTGATTGCAACTTCCCACCAGCTTCCCCATGAATGCTCGAAGAACCTTCGAAGATAAAGGGAGGGAGGGTCAAGTCTGAGATCCTTTTCAGGTTATAGTTCTGCCCCAACCATTGGGGCAAATCAACCATCTTGGTTGCAGCTCTTCCCCTTGTCCCTCAGGGTTGTTCCTTCTTCCCATTATAGCAAGATGGTTAAAAAAGTACACCTGAGCTTCTCATAGAATATCTGGGATCATTTTGTCTTTGTTTGTCCCCTAGGGGTGACTGTTAATGGTCAGCTAATTGGAGCACCCGCCCCACGGAATGGTCATAAGAAGCAGCGGACGTACTTCAAGAGCATCACAATTCTCAGTGACAAACCAGAAAGATCCTACCTGGAAATTTCACCCACAAAGGTCATCTTGGATGATGGGAAGAGACTTGTCTTTCCCTGTGACCGCAGTGCCATGGTAGTAGGCAAGAATCTCCAAGTGAGCATCGTGGCCCACTCCAACATCACTGTGGTCCTACGAGATTCCATTAGTTTTGTCATTCTCATCCATCACTACAGGAACCCTGCCCGCTATCAAAAAAATCATTTGGGTTTCTACATCTCTAACAGTCAAGGACTTTCCACAGGTTCTCATGGGCTGATAGGTAAGGGAGAGATGTGTTGGTTTCTATGGTTGTATGCAAAGAGACATATGTCTTTCTATTTGGATTATGAGAGTTGCAGTCCACAGTATCTGCTATCCAACAGCCTGGGGAGGGCTGCCATAGAACATAAGGATCTTAATAGACCTTAAGATAGGGTCTTAGTAGTCTTAAGTTTCAGAAAGGCAGATTTAAGTGTTCCAGACTGGTGACCTATTTTTGAAGGTAGTTCTGGCAATCTTCTGGAAGAGAGTTATACCCTTGTCCAAAGCCTGGCTGACAGTTTGCATGTATGGTGGAGGGGTGTGAGCTGAAGCAGGAGGAAGTTCACCTGGAGCACTGGGTGGGCTGTCCCTCCTTTACCAGCACTTATCTCCCATGAGGACAAGTTGTCAACCAGACATGAGGTAGCAAATGATAACCACTGCAAGAGAATAGCATTTATTTATTTATTTATTTATACATTAAATTTATATCACCGCCCAACTCCCCCACAAGGAGCCACAGGTAGCTGCAGTGGAGTATGCAAAGTGGTGTTGGGGGAGGCCAAATGGTGTTGCCCCTAAAGTAATAAAAATAGTAGAAATGGTGGTCATGAAAAAATATTGTTGGCACTGGGAATTCTGGGAGTTGAAGTCCACACGTCTTAAAGTTCCCAAGGTTGAGAAACACTGCCTTACCTTAAGGAAGCTCACTTTGAATTGGGGCTTGCACTGGGCAATCCTGTTAATCCTCTCCCAACGGGAAGGAGCTTAGCCTGCTTATAACCTACAGACATATTTTAAAAGACTTTGATCCAAGAAGCCATCCCAATGGGGCATATGGTTTTAAGAGGAGCTCAAACATTTATCATTTATGGTACTCATCATTACCTGCCTTGAGTGCCTTCTGGGTAGAGAGGGAGGAGGAGGAGGATGCACCTATTTAGAAATGTTTTCCAACCTCTTCCCTTGCACTGACAGTAATTCATATAGTCACATTTTGCAAAAAGATGTCGCTCATCCGTGTTGGTTGAAATTGCTAGCCACATTCCTGTCGCTCATGGATTCCATGTCCTCTTTTGCAGGCCAGTTCTTACACCAAGACGCTCAGCTGCTCACTGAGCCTTACTCACAAAAATGTAACCTGGGCAGCTGGAACGAAACAAAATCTGGGGACACAAACTTGGGTCATGCCCTACAGCTGAAAGGGCGCTTGGTGCCCGTCGTGTGGAAGCAGAGAAAGATCTACAATGGCCAACAGGAAGTGGATTGCTGGTTTGCCAAGAACAATGCAGAGAAACTGATCGACGGGAGCTACAAAGACTACTTGGCCTCCCACCCGTTTGACACAGGGACTAGCACCTTGGTGGAAAACAGACTTTGAAGAGACAAAATCTCCCTGGCTTTCCTCCGAGAAGAATTGGGTGGCTCTCAAGGAAACGTTTATATTTTAATTTAATTGTACTTCTCTGTTGAAGTACTGTAAATTTGCTAAGCATTGTTTGAATCATGGCTATCGTAGCTAACCTGTGTCTGCATTCACACAACATGCTAACCCTGATTAGCATGTTGTGGCTTAGCCTGTTACACAAACTCAGCCACACAGCACCTATTGTACTGTAATGTAGCTGGATGGATATGGGGAACACACACACTCACATATTTCACAGTCTCCAGAAAGTAGCCGCCTTAATGTATGGGGGTAAAACTTATCAAGGAGTCTGGTAGCATTTTAAAAACTAAAATAAAGATTGGGATTTCTTTTTATGTTGATTAGATTCATGGAGTCTTTTCCCAAGCAGGGAATGCATAGATCAACTCAGAGGACGCAGAAATCTGCAGAAAGGCAGATGCAGACGGGGAGAATTAGTCGCCATTCACAAAAGAGTTGCATGTGATAAATATTTGTGCATTGTGGAAGCGACTAACGCATACAGGGTGGTGAGAAGCACTAATCCCTGTTTATATCTTTAAAGTGAGTGACTTAACCTGGATCTGCAGTTCATTCGTTGCTATCTTTAGCATGTAACACCTCTACGGTACCACCTAGAACCGGGTGACATCTCCCAACTCCAACACAACTGTTCTTGGTTGACCTCCTCCAATGAGCTACTGAATTTCCTCTCTTCGTTATTACTTTTGAAAGAATCTGAATTCAGCAAACACGTCCAAGATGCCCATAAATGCACACTAATCACCATTCTAGATGTTGGCACTAAGGCCCAAATTAGCTTCCCTTCAGCTGATCCAGTCTTTCGCCTTTCAGCGGGCACATTTGTTTAAAACGTGTCAAAAATCTCATTCTCTAATACAGTATCTGCCAGATGGTTCAAGGGAACAATAGCAGACAGGGCCAGAAAAAAGATGTCAGCAACAGTAGATCAGAAATGACCGGTTTGCTTTTTTTCTAGGAATTGACGTCAGAAAAAAATGGGAACATTCAGGAGGAATTTCAGATGATTCACTTCTGCTGGGCATTTTGGATCTTAACCTAATGGATGGGTGGGGGAATGGGGTGCTGCTATTATATATTACCAGCTGAGTTGATTAATTTTATTCTTTTTACTGTAGTTGTGTGTTTTATAGTTTTGTTTTTATTTACAGATAGAATAGAATAGAATAGAATAGAATAGAATAGAATAGAATAGAATAGAATAGAATAGAATAGAATAGAATAGAATAGAATAGAATAGAATAGAATATTATGTAAAATTACATGGCCACCTATCTTGCAATCCACTCCGGGTGACAAAGGGGTCTGCAGGCTGTGGTCAAAAAAGTCAGGATGGCAGTCACAATGCGGACCAAAGCCCCGCCTATTTTACATGCACAACGCACCCAAAAATGGGTGGAACTTTCATTGCACCATCCTAACCACCATCTTGACTTTTTTGACCACACCCTGAGGACGCCCCTGCTAGGAGCAAATAGAATAGAAGGCAAAACAGAACAGCAGCCAAATAAACCAGGCCACAAGGATTAGCGACAACTATTTTAGAAGCACAGAAAGAATTCCTCGCCTGCTTCTTTAGAAGAACAAAGGCAGTGAATATGTTTTTTTAAAAATAATTTACGTCTAGGCTTCCTGTTTAAATTTTCAAAAAGAAAACCACACAGACAAAGCAATTTACTGCAAAGACCGAACAAAACTGTGCTAACCAAAGAACTGGAAATGGGGTGAAACAGATGCTAAATTAAACAACAGCCATTTCCCAGGCTAAGGAATGAGCAGAGGAACCCCCCAAGGAGGGGCCGAGGGCATCAGGAAGGTCACCAGCCGCCCATGTTCATAAAAGAGCTCTTGGTATTAAGTGGGCAAACTCACAAACGCAGTAATTTTAATATCAACGCCAACAAGCCGAAATGCACAGTGGGGGGGATAATAACTTGGCAGAAAAAAATTGCCTCTTTGTTCCTGCTCATCACAGAGGCTGAGAAAGGAAATTTGTTAAAAAGTGTACACGTTCGGAGTTGGTTATTTTCCTTTGAGATATAAAGCGGTCACAAATCCCAGTTTACAAATGAGGGAACTGAGGCTCAACTATACAGACTTGAGCTCAGCAAATTGAAGATGGGTGGACCCCAGCCAGCATGAGTGGACTCCAACTCCCAGAATTCTCCAGCCAGCAGGCTGGCTGGGGAATTCTGAGAGTTGGAGTCCACCCATCTTAAACTTGCCGAGTTTGAGAAATAGTAACAGTCCAAGGATTAAAGAGGGGTATATAAGCAGCTCACAAAATGCTGCAGATTTGACATTTAGTCTTCTGTTCATTGAGATACAATAAAGATAAAATAGTTGATTCAAGTCTTGAGTTCTTCCTGCCTCATTCAGCAGTAACATCACGTAGATTTTAAATCAAGAAAAGCAGAATCCTTACCCTCTGCATACAGAGTTATAATACAGACCTGTTCATTTTTTACTTTTAGATAAATTGCATTATTTAGTTGGGCTTTCCGGAGCCTGGAGGCAGACTTGCAAGAGTCTGTTTCTATCATTTATCTCCATGAAATAGAGTTCTAGTCTACCTGTAGCGTCAGATCCTGATCTGATCTACCTTATAAGGCTGACATTAATCCGTTTTCCCTTCCCTCCCCCATAAAACCCAAGAAGTTGAGGGAGCCAGTTGAGTCTCTTTCGAATACTTTCCTACCTCCCTGGGTTTGAGAGATAGAGACTTTTTCTGGACACCTGGTTGTCTTAATGGCTTCTGGATGGCTTCACCAAGGTCCCCTCCACACTACACAAGAGTGGTTAATTGGTCTTTTCCTGCAAGTGGCAGAGAGTTGGACTATACCGTATGATCTCGGTGATCCCTTCCTCTGCAGTTCTACAATCCTAAGACTGGTCTTCCCTCCTTATCCTCCACATCCCCCCTCTTCTCTTTAAGCCTGGTGATGTCACCTGTCCATGATCTTGCTTGGAGAATGAAGTCACAATCTAGAAGCAGTGTTTCTCAACCTCGGCAACTTTGAGACGTCTGGACTTCAACTCCCAGAATTCCTCAGCCAGCATGGGAATTCTGGGAGTTGAAGTCCAGACGTCTCAAAGTTGCCGAGGTTGAGAAACACTGATCTATAGGATTCTCCTTTCCTGCCAGTTACTTTCACAGATCCCTAGTACAGCAAGTTATTTTTCCAAAGTTGGCTATTCTTAAAAACCTGCCTGTACCTGTTCTTAAAAGGCTGTCCCAAAATTCCTTTCAAGAGTTAAAAAGAGCTTTGCCAGGGAACGTCCTTTTGCCCTGAAAGGAGATGGGGTATCTGAATAATTGCTGGAATTCTCCAAATATACAAAACAACATAAGAACAAAAAATGGTTAAGCGTTTTTCTGCCATATCATCAAAGCTAAAATATTTTCTCATCCACACGGTCCTCTCCTCAGAGATAAGGTTTACACTTGGTTAATCACATTGCACAAACACATTTCTGCAAAGAAGAGCACAATTTATGAGTAGCAAGAATGGAGGAATGGCATTTTTCCACTTTCAATTCCCTTCTAGAATTCCCTGTGACTGTAGCAATAAATTCTTGAAATATCTTCCACTTTCCTCCACCTCTGGTCATGAATAATTCACTGCCCACTAATGGCCTTTTGGGCAAACGCCCTTTCTGCTATGGCAATTCTTCCTGAAATAAAATGGCAGATTGAAAAAGTTTGAAAAATCAAATTATATAATCACAAGGGCAGTTGTCATGTATGTGCAATGTTCTGTCTAAAAATGGATTTTGTTAGAATGCAGATTGCAAACCCAGAATTCATGGAAGAGTCACAAGCTTAGAGGCTGGTGCTTGGTGTTTGAAGACAGCCAAGTAATGTTGGAACTGGGATTTATTTATTCCATAATTTTATATGGCCGCCCATCTCATATACTGTATATGACTCTGATTGTGTGATTTGAGTGTTCATAAAATGAAAAAAAAATGTTCCAACCTCAGACTATACCTCAATGTTTCAAGAATTCTGCAACAGGGTACTAAGGAAAATCAAGCCCTTGTTCCTTTTAGTCCCTGTGGCCAAAAAAAGATTGGGTAGTAGCTGAGCTCCTAGCATCTAATGTCTAGAAAAATTGGCCAAGAGGATGATTTTTTAAAAAAACAAATGTGCAAACAGGCTGCAAAAAAGATATTAAACTATTACTACCAATATTTTGGTAGAATGGGAATGGTTTACATAAAAATCATCCCCATGGCCAATTATTTTGTAGCTGGGTGGTAAGTAGCACTCAGCTTGAATTATTACTATATACCATATGTCTTTGTTAGGCTTGTTTTGACTTCCATTTGTTCTTTATGGCAGAATCCTTGAAAAAGCACGGAGCGCTGCATGTTGTTTTGTCCCAGGCACATGATGTTTGGTTCCAATCTCAGAATACTCAGAATGGTGCACAAAATGCTTTCCATACCTCTGTTGTGTGGGTCTCAGGTGCAGAATTCAACAGGGTGAAAAGGTTCGAAAAATAATTTCCACACAAGCACGCAAGCAGTCCAGGTTTTTGTCTTCTGAAATCAGAGCTCGGAACACACCACAGTAATAGCTTCCATAGCCGTTTAAATATGAAATATTTATTATGCTTACAAAAGAGGAGTAAAAAAAAAAAAAGAGTAAATAAGGCTGGACAGCAAGGGTTTTTAAATAGTTTTTGTAATCAGGATATATTTGCGAGTGGTCTGTGCTTTTGTGTGTCATACAAGTTTGCAGAAGGCAAATCATCTTGATTCTTATTTTTGATTTCTTTCTTTTTTTAAAAGGTGCTACGATGCAGAATCAATCAGAAACTATCACCAGCCGGCCAGCCACAACAAATGGTTCAACCGGAATCAGCAGGGCAAGAGACAACCAAAAATGAAATTTTAGCTCCCCAAATAACCCCAGCACCATATTCCCCGCCCCCCACCAAAAAAAAAAATTACTGTCCAAATGCAACAGGTTAAATTAAGAGGCTGTCCAAATGCAACAGGTCACAGGAGCAGGCCAGCTTAGGATATTTCAGTGGGTCACGTTTTACAATCTCTCCATCCGGTGTGGTCTCCGAAATGAAGTTCCTTAATTTTTTGTCTTTGCTCCGCTAGAAATCTTTGTTGAAAGACCACTTGATACTCTCAGCATCTTAAGCTTGGGCTCCTGCTTTGGAGGAGAGATGCCGACAGGTCTACGTCGCTTCTGGAACGGTCAAAGTCCAAAGTGGGACAAAGCAGGACCTGGGGAAAATGCATTCAGAAATGACTTCATGGGCCACATTTTCATCCGTCAATCAGAACTATTCATTAACACAGTTGATTACTTCTGCAAGACTGTTAGATGAGCAAAAATGGAAAGACTCTGAAACACCCACAACGAAGGAATGGTTGGTGAAGATGACGAAACTCGCAGAGATGGCAAAATTAATTTGTTGGATTAGAGAAAGATCAATAACTACATTTATCAGTGACTGGAAACTCCTTATGGACTTTTTGCTGAAAAAAGAGAAAAACGAACTTGTGATTTATGAGTTTGAGAATTAGAAAGGGTAGTTTATGGAAAGATGGAAATTATGATGTAACCTTAGAGAGGGTAAAATGTAAATGCTTGTATAACCGCTGTCAAAAAGATCAGAAGCTGTTTTTTAATAATCTTTTCTTTTCTTTCTTTTCTTTTCTTTTCTTTTCTATTTCTATTTCTTTGTCTATTTTCTTTCTTACGTATTCCCTATTCTTTCTTACTTCCTTTGTTTCTCTTCTAATGTTTGTATTGTTTTTATCTTGTTAAAAATGTATTCAATCAAAATTATATTTTTAAAAAAATAACTATTCATTAACCCAAAGAGGGGTGTTCATCAAAATACCGCACATCTTTGGGGGGGGGGCATTTTTTGCTTTACTTATGTTTTTCCTGCCTCTCCCACCATGAAGCTCAAAGCAACAGACGTGGCTTCATGTCACTTGCCCCACTCAAAGGTTCAGGGCCAAACATTTCTGTAGCACCAAAGGATTCTGCAGGAGTTGAGTGTTCGTCCCCATAGAGTTGAAAGGGACCTGAAGGTCTCCTAGTCCAACCTCCTGTCCAGTACAGGAATCCTCGGAGCTGGGCAAGAAATAAACGTCGAAAAGAACTACAGCAAGCAATTGTGTTGTGTGGGAC